TGCAAGATCTGGACGGCTTTAGAAATGTCGGGGAAGAGTGGTGTACCGTCCCAAGAACCGACGGCCATGGAGCTGCGGAAGGTCTGATCTGCAGTGTTGTGCTGCATAAACCCGAGCTTTCGACGGCCGTCGGAAAAGGATCGTTCCGTGTCCACCGACGTCGCTGAAAAGAAATTAGAATGCAATACGAAGAAGCCAAAATGAGGGGCAGACCTGGCGCAGAGCAATAGTCAGTCCCCATTCGCGCTAGGCTCGGCTTCAGTTGTTCTTGTCGAAACCAATAGCCGATGGGACCACCAAGCGCCGCCAGCATATCCGATGCGATTGGCGCTTCCGCGAGATAAGCTTCAATCGTGTCGGAGCCGGCAACGACAATCACAGCGGGTGTCGCGACCCGCCACCGTGCAGCACGCTGTTTGCGTGGCGGGGGTCAGAAAAGGTAGAGGGACATGTGCCATGCCTCACCGCAGAGGCAGCCGTCGGTTGCGACGCTGAAACAGGCCCAGGGAGCGGGGAGATGCTGTACGACTTGTACGACGTCTGCCATCGGCTTACGACGCGTTCCTTGATGCGGGCGATGTCTTCCTCCGACCATTGGCGCTGGCGAAACCACTCGAGCTTTTTATCGGGTGACATAACTACTAGCGTAAACGTCGACACAAAGGATGAGTACTGTGCACGCACCAATTGCAATCGAATACACTTCACACTCCTCGGTGAGGGAAAAATACTTCTCTGTGACCATTACAGAGGCACACGCGGCGACGCGGACGACATTCGACGCCTCCGTGTCATCGCGCACCATTTTCAAGGAAGTCAACAAATCTTCCAGCGCCCCAATGGTGTCCGCGATAAGCGGGGTTTCCGCCTGCGAAAAATGTAACGTCATATCATCAAAAAGCTGGACCAGGACGATGAGGGATCTAAAACCTGAAGGAGTGCAACAAACTTACACTGAGAACATCACTGACCTCTTCCGCCAACTCCCACTGCGCGTTGGTAAGTTTGAAGGCAGATAGTTTGAGCTCCGAGGTTGCGGTTAGTTGTTGAACTGCGTATTTCAATGTGATATGCGTGTTCAAGCAGGCGAAATCCGAGTTCCAGCGCGTCGGCACTCGTCGAGCTAATGCGGTTTTGTCTGAGTGCACTTTGCCGGCTGCCTTGGCGGTGTCGAGGAGCGATTGGAAGACGTCGGCTATGGTACCGCTGTCGTGGACTTTCTTGGCAAGCCCAGCGACCTGGAGGAGGGTTCAACAGGTGAAGATTATATCGACGAGGTTTTACTCACCTTCGGGAAGATGGCCAGCGCCATCTTGTCGTCGAGTTCGTCAATCTCGACACCCAGCGCCGCCATGAACGCGACGGCCTTGGCTCTGATCGAGCGCGCCGTATGGGTGTCGTGAATCTCTTGACTTGCATCAACGACCCCCGTCGCATCGTCGTCCTTCGCGTCCAATACCGCGGCCAGCTCCTCTTCCTCCGGCGAAAGATCCTCGCCCTCTTGTGCAACAGCTTCTTCTTCGATAGAGGGGGTAGGGGCGACAGCGCGAGAGGGGCGGGTGTTGGTGCGGGTGGACGGGGTACGCGAACTGGATGCGACGGCGTTTGTGACGCGTTTGCGGCCCTTGACTGTTATTGCTTTTCGGCGTTTCAATTCTTTGAAAAAAAACTGAATAAAAGCCTGAGAATCCAAGTCAGAAAGTACATTCTTCTTCGTGATATGTTTACCTTGGCAGCAAGATTCAGTATATGTAGGATACAACGAAGCCGCGCCTCCGCGCCCCGAAATGTCGACATTAATTCACCGGCTCGAACAGCCGTCGTATCGCAGTTACCGGCATTATCCATGTTGAGAAACAACAGCTGAGCGACGATGAGAAAATGAAAAAGCCAAAGACCGAGGTACGCACCAGCTGTTCGAGTCCAAATCGTTCCAAGCATTCTACAAAAACCTGCCCAAGGTAATCTCCAGTGTGACTTTGCGTAAGTCTGAGGGAAAAAATCAGCATTTGGATGTCGCGGGATGAATCCATGCGCACTTGACGAACTCCAGCACTGCGCGATGCATCGCCCCCGCGTCGGCCCAACTAATAACGATGCCAAGCCAACTGGGACCGAGCGGGGATGTCCAGCCGTCTATCTGTCCGTGAACCGGCCGATCCCGTTTCTATAGTGCGGGATTAGTACTCGTGATCGGGAGTTAGGCAAGGGGACGCATACATACCTTGAAGTACGACCTAACATCCTTTGAAAGTTCGAGATAAAGTAGGTTGAGATCGCGCGACACAGTACTTGCAGCCGGGAGGGAGGTTCCGGGGCGTAGCATTTCAACCTCCATCCTGTAGTATTTATCATTCACAGCGTTGAATGGACGGTTGCTGGTAGCCGTGCGCATTGCTATGAGAGTCCGATGTGCAGCCACGGAGTAGGATGGCCCCGTGGCGCGCGCTTCCGCAACGATCCCTCGATCCGAGTCGCATTGCTGAGCGGTTCGTAGCAAACTGCTTGTCCCGTTGCTGGTGCTCTCCCGCGCGCGAGTAACCGCCTCGTGAGGAAGGTGATTGTATTTGCATTTAAATTTGAAGGCCATCCGACGAGTCGCGTCGTTGCGCTCAAGCGAAATATTATAGTGATCGTAGGCGGCGGATTTCCACGTCGCTTTGGAAGCCTCTGGCAGGAGATAACAATTAGCGGGAAAGGCAGATGTATACAACTCAATCACGCACGAAGAATCTCCGCGTCGTTTAGCGGCCACACCTCGGCATCTGTTTGTGACGCGATTCCATTCTTCTTGCGCCGCTTTCGTGCAGGAAGGACATTAGCAGGGGCGGTATTCTCGTCGTCATCGTCCTCGTTTGCTTGTGAATGAGTCCGGTGAAGTTGGGGTGACTGCTCCGGCGTTGGCAGACGCGACGATGACGGGATATTAGCCGGCTGGTTTGCTCCGGAGCCAGAGGATAATGGTAGATGGGTAAAGGACATAGTGTAGGCAAGGGTATTATAGAGTGGGTATCAAGAAATAGAGGGGTAACGAGCGCGCCCAGCGCAACACGCCGCAGGCGACGGTGAAGGCGGGAGGCAGGCCCGTGACCGTCACGGTGTCTGCCATAACCGCGGTCAGCCCGTCGTCCGCCACAACCCGTGGGAAATGACCGTGCCCGCCCCGTGTCCGTCCGATCAATGCGGTCATGGGCGGTTGGCCGGTCAAGCCGATCCACGCTAGTCCCTAACCAGCTTACGTTTGTTACCGGATCCCTGACCCACAACTCATACTGACCGGGCACCAGGAAGGATTATATCTCAAATTCAACCTCCGTGCTTATTCTCGACCGTCTGTGCTACCGCGCAACCCAAAGCGAACATAACGCGCACGTTATTGTTAATGGAAACGGACTGGGATTCGCCATGGAACGCCTTTGTTCATGGCCGGAGGCAGGAAATTCGCAACCAATATGCAATCTATTGAAGGTCATGGGCCACTACGAATCACTGGAGGCCGTACTGGATGAATTCTACACCGAAGTGGCCGCTTTGTTCGAGTAAGTCATTCCCGTGATAAGTTTCTTTTTTCCTGTCTGAAAATCCCCGCCAGTCATCCTGATCGTTGGGTCCAAACCGCGGCAGCGGACGTGTTAGCTGGCGTGGATATGATTGAGATACTAGCGGACCATCTCACGTGTGTCCGATCTTTCGAAGTTCTCTGATCCAATGCTAATTTCTTTACAGGTTGCACGGCCGAATGACATTCGTTCAAGAACTCATTCTGACGCGACTCACGCGCTATATACAGCGCTCTGAGGTTCCGTCCGAGTCTCTGATATGGTTCACCTCTGCAGAAATTACTTCGCCATTCCCTTCGAGACCCCAGGGATTCAACCTCGGACCAGATCCCCAGTCATGGCGGTGAAGACGAACTTCAGGTCGGAGTCCAAGTGGACAAAAAGGTGCTGCTTTAGTACATTCCCGGCATTCCTGCTCAGGTCTGACTGATTTCAGGGATTTTCTGAAAACAGCGTCGGCCTTACTCAACATGACCGGGCACCTCCAACCCCAGCGGCGATACCAAGCATACATACAGAGGGCCGCCGCTGGGACGAAACACACGTACCAGTCTCTCGTTTTACCTCGGATTTCAATATGAACCAGTTGGTCAACTTGTGGTCAACCGTAAATAAATTATATGAATGATATGTGACGTTCATCTTCAATCACTTTTTCCAGCGCCCTGATTCAGACTGTCGACTACCAGCGCCCTGATTCACACCGTTGACTACCGGGCTCTCAGATGGTCGCCCCAGCGGCGCAGGGCGAGTATAAATACGGGAAATTCCCGTCGTGTATTCAAATTCAAATTACCATTCGCCAAACCACCCCACTTCGTCCACCGTCCCTTATTCCTCCGCGAGGCAATGGAGTACATCTGCGCAGGTGCCTATTGCGCTTACGACTCTCCTCTTCCGGCTCACTGACAGCTCGAATGAAGATTGTAGCGTGAAGAACGAGATCAAGCCCACTGAACCTATCCGCTGTCGAGACTGCGGGCATACAGTCATGTATAAGAAGGAAGGTCAGTGACGTGTCTTTCTGCCTGTGGATTTTGCTGCTGATTTAGTTCAGTTGAAGGCGGAGACACAGCTGAATCCAAACCTGAAGCAGTCGATGACGGGCGTGAATATTTCAACATCAGTGCCGCCCGGATCGCTGATCTGTGGTTCAATCAAGGTTCAACTTTCTGTTTCCTCCGCTTCCTTGCGAAGCGTGCTCCGAGCTATGATCTGGGTCGGAGCCCGATACTTGACGAATTTACAATCGCGTTCCTCCGAATCATCAGCTCTAATCTGGCGAAACTCGAACGAGGATAATCCATTCCCACAAGCCCCTGAATCGAAGACACTCCAGATCTGCATTTTTACGCTTGACTGGGAGGAGCTTGAATAGGTACAGATACTGGGGCAACTGACAACCAAGTATGGGGTACCCACGGACTGCCCCCAAAAAGTTCCGAACACGAGGAATCGAACCTCGATCTGCCTCTCTCTCAACCCGGCCTTGGGGAGGATTCACGAGACCATGCTATCCCTTGCACCATATCCGAATGCAGGCCTAAATTGAGTAGGCAGGTTTGCTGCATGAATGGATGCTGAGTTTAGTGCATATGGCCGATTTGTAGCTTCGGCTCATAGACTGCTGCGCCGGGAAATTAATTCAATTCTACAGCAGAGAGAGAAGTGAGCTCAATTTCCCTCTACCTAAGGCGTGGATTTGTTCACGGTACAAGAGGATATTTCGTTGTTTTCCGCCTTGGTTCAATCTGTCAAGCGTTTCAGTTTTTCGAACCACGGGAGTTGAGCAACCCAACCACGAGCGGAACGGTCTGAAAGACAAGAGGATCATTCATTCAATGTGCATAAGCATTTCCAACCCGGTTGTCTGCACTTGGAAATTTTGCTGCCGTTCAACCCTGAGCGTGGGACACGGAAGTAAATGAGGTCGAGGCCACGGAGGATATCGGCCGAACGGGATTCGTCCGACCAGAGCGAGTCAAAAAAAGTGGATTGCAATTTGCGGAGAGTTAGGCTTCCAGTCGCCAGTCGCGCATATCCCGCACCCACACTCCTTATAAGCCCCCAGCCAGCAATCGGGCGTTGTGGTCGACTTTGTGCAAATCCGGCAACGGTCACGTTCGCATCGATGGCTGCCATCCCTCACTCTTGCTTCCGACTCCGACTTCGTCCTTCCCTCCCCCGTCGCCCGCTATCTCAAACACCCACCATGCGTCCCTTGACCCTCGACGTCCTCAACCCCCAGCTCCAGCAGGTCCAGTACGCCGTCCGCGGCGAGCTCGCCATCAAGGCAGAGCTCTACCGCGACCAGCTCAAGACCGGCGGCGACCACGGGCTCCCCTTTGACAAGGTCATCTCCTCCAATATTGGCAACCCCCAGCAGAAGGGGCTCGACCAGCCCCCCATTACCTTCACCCGCCAGGTGCGCGCCCTTCCACTCCCCATCGCGGATTGACTCGGATTAACGGCTGTTGTGCTAGGTGGCAGCGCTGACCGAGTGGCCCGCACTCGCGGATCTGGCACCAGGCGTCTTCCCCCCCGACGTCGTGGCGCGCGCAAAGGAGCTCTACGACGAGATCGGATCCATCGGCGCGTATTCGCATAGCCAGGGCGTCCCCGTCATCCGCAAGAGCGTGGCCAAGTTCATTGAGGGTGGGTACAGACTGTTATTCATTCATCTCTGGCTGTTCTCCTCGTTCTGCGCGCTCGCTGGCTCGCTGGCACGGAATCCGTTAACGCCGCTGAGTGCGGAGGCGCGTCCGTAATGCGGAGCCCCGGCTTACCCAGCCCCCCAGTAACGCGTCTCATACAACTGGGCGCGATCGTTTCGATGCTTCTCTCACGCCCAATCCGTCGCATTGCATTCGTCGTCACAGTCCCCGGACGGGAGATGCGGCGTTCTCGACGGCGGCGTCCGTGTTTGGCGGTGCGCGCGCGCGCGTCTGTTGTGATTGGGATGCGGATCGGTGGCATCGGCGAGGCGACATAGCACGCCCCTTCCCTCCGCCCAGCCTGACTATGGCTATGCTACTTGTATCTGCTCGGGCATTGTATCTGCTCGCGGCATCCGCATGCCTTTGCCTTTGCCTTTCCTATCCTCTCCCGCTCGTCCATACGCGAGCGCCGGTGTTCTCGAGGTGCGCGTCGGCGGTACGGGGATCGTCCGCGCGCGCGTCTTTTGCCAGTGAGGCCTTATTTTTATCGCCCACCGGGCGAGGCCTTCCACCCAGCTGCTTACTATGACTGTGCCCTACATCTGGACGCGCCTCGTCCCCACTGTATCGTCCCATTCTGGGACACTTGACACCTTCTCGAGCGCGGTATTCGCCCTTGCTCTATTTCTTGACCCCGCGCGGTGGGACGAGTGCGCGGTGCAGCGCAGTCTGCCTGCCTGTGCTAAGCCGGCGCGTACCACCTGCTCGTGCCTTATACTGGTACCACTCTGCCGCACGTCGTGCTACTGGCGTTACTCGTACCTTTCTTTCTTTCTATTCACGTTTATTCTTCGATCCATTTCGTTCGGCGCGCCACACATAACGGGGTGCGACTCGTCCACTCGTGGAGACGGGGGCGCGGTGGGACGATCTCGATGCAGTGGGCGCGCATCGTGCCGCAACGCTACGGGCGTTGCTCGCGCCAGTCTACGATTATTCTTACATTCGATTCGCATGCCCGACGCGGATGCATGTGTGCGGCCGGGTGACGGCTGGGGTGCGGTGGCGGCATTGGGACACGCTCAGCGCGCGTACGATCTGTTTGTACGGGCATTACTCGTCCAAGCGGCGTGCTCGCTGGCTCCGTCCTCCATCGCTCACAAACCACGGGGCCTTTATCTCCTCTTCTTGCGCGGCTTCTTTAGCGGGTGTTTCTGTCTGTGTGCGGTGGACGTGCATCTGATTCCACGCCGACACTCCCCACTTTACGCGGCAGGACCAGTGTGGCATGTGCGTCCACCCGCGGCGCTCGCTTTCCCTGACGTTCCTCTTTATCCATTTCCTCTTTGCCAAGACCGAATCAATACTAACCTCCCTCCAGACCGCGACGGTTTCCCCGCCTCCCCCGACGACATCTTCCTCACTGCCGGCGCCTCCGCAGGCGTCTCCCTTCTCATCAACATGCTTATCACCTCCCCCACGTCCGGTATCCTCATCCCCATCCCCCAGTACCCCCTCTACACCGCCGCCCTCGCGCAGCACCACGGCACCCCCATCCCGTACCTCCTCGACGAGTCCGCCGGCTGGGGCACCTCCGTCCCCGCCATTGCCGAATCCTTGGCCAAGGCCAAAGCCGAGGGCGTGCAGCCCAAGGCGCTCGTGATCATCAACCCGGGCAACCCCACCGGTGCGCTGCTCGACGCGGAGACCATGCGCGCGCTGGTGCAGCTGTGCGAGGCCGAGAGCCTCGTCCTGCTCGCGGATGAGGTGTACCAGAACAACCTGCATGAGCGGGAGCAGCACCCGTTCACGAGCTTCAAGAAGGTCGTCCGCGAGCTCCAGTCGCCCGTCCCACTCGTCTCCTTCCACTCCATCTCCAAGGGCGTCTCGGGCGAGTGCGGCCGGCGCGGCGGGTACTTTGAGCTGGTGAACGTCAGCGCGGAGGTCCGCGCGCTCGTGTACAAGCTCGTGTCCGTCGGCCTGTGTCCGCCGCTCGCGGGCCAGATCGGGGTGGACTCCATGGTGCGGCCGCCGAAGGAGGGGGAGCCGTCGTATGCGCTGTGGAAGGCCGAGACCGACGCCATCCACATCGCGCTTGCGTCCCGCACGCACCTGATGGCGGAGCGGCTCGCGGCGCTCCCGGGCGTGTCGTGCGTGCAGTCGCCCGGCGCGCTCTACCTGTTCCCCCGCATTACGATTCCGCCCCGCGCGGTGAAGCAGGCGGAGGAGGAGGGGCGGGCGCCGGACGCGTTTTATAGTCTGGCGCTGCTGGATGAGACGGGGATATGCGTTGTGCCTGGGAGTGGGTTTGGGCAGAAGGAGGGCGAGTGGCATTATCGGTTGACGTGTTTGTGTCCCGGGGTGGAGGACTATGTGGGCAAGCTGGAGAAATTCCATATTGGGTTCTTGGAGAAGTGGGCATAGAGCGGGACGGAAGAAGAAAGAAAGAAGCGAAAGCGCGTGGGCGGGCGGTAGAATCAATCATCTAGACTCGGTATCTTTGACAATGCTCTGAATGGAAAACGCCCTCATCTCCTCACATCCTTCGACAGTAGTTTCTTCTTGGACCTTTCCAATCGCCAGTCGGATCGCCTTCGGCACTGTTCGACGCGTTCGGATTTTTGATATTGAAGGAGGATACATTATCGGCTACCTCCACCCAAACTTCGTCACACAACCCTCCGCCTGGAGAAAAGCGCCAAGCAGGCGTGTTCTAAGATGAGAAGCAGGAGAAAAGCGCCAAAGACGGGGTAAATGCGGAATTTGGCGCCGAGACTGACCCATGCTTCGTCGGAAATGGCCGCGACCAAGAATGCTTCAACGGCGGTTATCCTATGAGTAAATGAGGTTAGTCTTCGAGGTCTTGGGCAGGGGGTTCGACGTACACGAGACAGAACGTGTTGTGATACTCCATCACTGTAACATATGAGACGTCGGGGAGAATTGGCTGGACAGATGTGATGAATGCAGCCTGGAAATGAATGAATTCATGAATCAGTCCACGCCGTAAGGTTTCAGAAGAACGCGCCTGGGCAACGAGGACGATGACTGCTACCGTGACGAGCAAGAGGCGTTGGTCTGGAGTCGGTCCATCGGGGACAACTTTGGGGATGAGCAAGAGCGGTGTAATTCCAACGAGCGTAATGACGTCCATCGGGATTAGCGCTTTCCAAAACCAATAGCCCGTGTTGCGCTTCAAGGTTACAGTTACGATGATCTAAGTAGAACAAGTCAGCTCGGAGGGTCTCTACATCAATACTAATGTGTATGTAGTTTGACCTTTGAGCGGAGGATTCCGGCTCCGTCCTGCACCTCGCCTAGATCTTCGTGTTGTTCATTTCGATAACGATGTTCAATTTGAACCCCTTGTGTTGAAATTTTTATGAGGTGAATGAAGCGCGGCGGGTACATATTGGGCGAACCATGGATAACCCAGTATCGACTGCGAGAGAAATGGCTCACGACCGTGCTTTTATCTGTGCCTTGACACAACAGGTGGATTTCTGGAACTGAAGGTCAGTACCGAGACTGAGGTGCGGGAGAAATTCAACCGAACGTTCAATGGGGACATCGGAGGTCAAGTGAAGTACCACGGTCTCCTGGTCGAATGGAAAGCCCTCGGAATTCCCTATGAGAAGAACTTATCAGCGCAATGTTCGCGAGTAGTAGAGAAACATTGCATGCCTCGGGATATGAAGTCGGCCTCAAATGTCGTCTGGGCAGTGAATTTGACCCCAGCGTCTTCCTTTGTGGCCTTCTTTAGGAGAAAATCTGGCAGGTCGAGTGGTTCTTCATCGACTACAATGCGTTCATCATCCCAAAGTACACTTTTAGCTCGCAAAGGGGGCCCCAGGAAAGCATCAAGCGCTCGGTCCTTG